TTGGAAGAAGGGAGGAGGAGGAGAGCGCGGAGGTGTGAGGGGGACCCTAGAAGAAAAGCAGAAGGGAGGGGAGGAGGAAAGCGAGCGAGCGCAATCCCACCCTTCGAGAAGGTCGCCAACCCGAAGAAAGCAGACAGAGGGTTCCTGACCCCTGCCGGGCACGCCCCGGCGTGGAGAGAAGGACCCCTGCGCAGCGTGCCCTGCCACTCGAGGCCCCCCCGGAGAAGCTGGCGGGGCGAGTGCGGGAGCAGGTGACTTGATTCGCCGCTTCCCCAATTGGCGAGGTCCCGGGACTCGTTTTCCGCCTGGAGATTAAGATCATTGCTCGCGTAATGAACTTAATGCTTTAGGGTAGAGGTGAGTGTGTCTGCGAGTGGGCAGGGGTAGGAATTACCGACCGGATCGATGGGAGAGTGGCTTAAAACTAAATCCCTTTTCTCCAGGGCTTCACCGCCTGGGTTTCCGCGCGGTGGGCTGAGCGCGCCGGGCCGGCAGGAGGCAGCGCGCAGAGGGGCGACCCGGAGGCGCAGCCGGCCAGAACCGAGACCCTAAAACGCCCCTCATCTCTCCACCGAGACCCCCAGATACCCGCTTTCAGGGCAAAGACTCTTAAATGCTCAAATGTTGGCGAACTGATTGCTCAATATGTTGTTTGTTTTTCCTTTCAGCTCCGCTTTGGTTGAGAATGTTACAGACGCGTTGGCGGGCAGATTGGGCCAAAAAGGGAAACTCCCCCCTCCCAGCAATCAGCCGCCTCCCTCAAGGGGCGATCCCCCACTCTCTCTCCCTCACCGCTCTTTCCCGGGCCCTGGGATTCCCAATCTCATGTACACTCTGCACCTGGCCACCCTGAGTGCTAGGGGCCGGGCGCCTAACAGTCAAGTGGGTGCGGGGTGGCATGGGAGAGGGGAGTGAGGCGAGGGGAAATGCCCGGCCAGGCAGGACGCCCCATTACCTAATTCCACGTCACTCCACCCGGCAGCCAAGCGCCTAGCCCGGAGCTTTGCATCAAGTCCTGTTTTTACTGCCTTCACATGGGCCGAGGGCCTGCTGGGATTCGAAAGGCAGAGGAAAGTTTGCAGAGGCTTTAAACAAATCCTGAGGAGCTCCTGCCTAAGGCGCCGGGGTGCCGCCCACGGCTCCCCTGCTGCGGCCTCAGATCCCGGCACTCACAGTCCGCCTGGCGGGCGCTGCCCAGGTCCCAAGTGCCCCCAAGCTCCCGTAGTCGCGCTCCCGGAACCGCCGTGGGCCTCGGGAACAGAGTTCATCAAGAAGCCTCTAGTCCAACACAAAGCACCCCGAGCGGTTCCGAGGGAGGGGGGCTGGAGTGCCCCAGGAGGTGCCTCTCCAAACCTGTGCAGACCCGGGGTCGCCTCGTCTCCAGAGACGAAGACAGCAGCCCCCTTACACTTGACTTTTATGTTGGGGTGGGGAGGAGGTAGGAGGCTACTGGAGGTGCCAGAACCGCCCCCCAAGGTGCTCTGGGCTCTGAGCACAGACCAGTCCGCCCGTGCACCGGGCCCAGGCCAGGACCCGGGGCTCGGTGGGACGCAGGGGCAGCCGCGTCAGGGCGGGACGACTCCTCGCAGCTGCCGCCGCGGCCCACGGGATTTTCTCTCGGGGCGCGGAGCCCAACCCAACCCCAGGCCTCTGGCATCTCCCCTCCTGCCCCCGGCCCGCAGGCTTGGGGGGCGCTGCACACAGCAACGAACCCGGCGTGCCCAGTCTGCGCGCCGCGTGGGAGACGCGGGTGGCAGGAGGCGGGTAGGGCTTGTATTTTTCCTTTTCAGAATCTTTCGACTTCACTACGAAGTTTCCTGGTAGGCGCCTCTGCCCCGGGGTCGGAGCCTCCCACCGCCGCTCCTTCCTCTCCCTTCTCCCCGCCCCCGCGAGCCGAGCGAGCCGGAGCCTCCGCCTGGGCCTGGCCGACCGCTTGTTCTCCCCGGCCGGGACCCCGGCGCCTGGAGATCCGCGCCGCCCTCCCCGGGCTCCGCGGGGGTGCCTCTCCCCGAGGCGAAACTCGCCGGCCCAGCGCACTGCAAGGAGACACCCGCTGCCTCCCGAGGAACTCCTAATACCATCCATACAGCTTTAATGCGTTTATAATTCGATAAGTGATTTCAATTTGAAATTGTTAGTAACTAATTTTATGGGTAATTTTTCCACATCAAATATTTAAGCATCAGATTAAGGGAGCCAGTTCCGACACAGGATAATAAGGGGGTTTCCCCCCCACACCCCGCGCCTCCGCCTCCTTCCGTTTCCTACCGAGTCGTTTTTCCAAATCCCCAAAAGATGGCAGTCGAAGCCGACATTCTTCTTTTCCTGCGGCTCTGCGAAGGGAGGGGGAGAGAGAGGGGGAAGAAGGAGGGAGGGAGAGAGGGGAAGGAGGGAGGGAGAGGGGAAAGAGGGAGAGGGGGAGGAAGGAGGGAGGGAGGGAGAGAAGAAAAGGAGAGGGAGAAACTAGACGTTGCATGGACTTTTGAAACTAATTCTTTCACTCGTTTCTAATACAACCAAGAAGCAGTGGTGAATTTCCTGGAAATGTCCTGGCAGAAAAGAAAGCCAAAAAACGTGGCTTGTGGGCTCAGAATAGGAGATGTGAGAAACTCAGCACTTTCAAACTAAACCCTCAGTTCAGAGCAGAAGGGGGAGAGGGGAGACCAGGAGAGGCACAGACTGGCTTTTTGATATTTCTTTGTATTTTTACATTATATACAAATACTATAAAACTAAGCAACTTGTTTCCTGAAGGACAAGACTCTGCAAATTACATAACGGGAGAAGAGATGGGGGTGGAGAAAGGTGGTGGGTGGGGGGCAGACCTCTGTGGGCGGAGGGGGGCTGGGGCCAGCAGCGGATGAATTGCAGACCAGTTGCCAAAACTTTTTTTTTTTCCCTGCTGCTGCTGCTGCGGCTGCCTTTGCTGCTGCCTTTGCTTTGAATGTGGGTAACTAGGAAACAGCAAGCCGTCTGAGAAGACGGAATTTCCAACGTGTAAAATGTTCTTAACGGAACCATTGAGCGAGTGCAATAAGGCGTGAGGGGGAACTAATCTTCCCATTTAAATGTTTGTGGCAATTTTATCTAAATGAATTTTAATGCTAAACGAGGGTAATTCCCCATTTGTAGCGCGTTTACTTCTCTTTCCTGTGCTTCTAAAGCAGTCGAACATCAAGCAATGAACAATAACAATAAAAATACTGTCAAGGCATATTATTCATTTTGAATGTGTTATAATTACAGCTGATTAAATATGATGGGGTAAAATATTTTTAATTTTTTTGAAAAATATTTAAATCATACTAAAAAGTTTCATTCAGCCAGCGCCCCCCTCCCCAAATAAAAATAAAAAGCAGGTACAATGGTGTGCCCTTGTTTAGACGAGGGCGTTTTGTTTTTGCCTTTTAAGCAACATCAAAAACACTCTGAGCACCTCTATTATTTCCCTCTTTTGGATAAGTGTCCTCAATAACCTCAGAGCTGGCTCTGAAATTTACAAGAGGAAAAGCTAAAATAGCATTAAGGGGGAGGTGGGGGTGTCGAGGCAGGGCAAAAAAGGACTTGCGGAGAGCAAGGCTCTCACAAAACCCTCACACAGAGGGGGAACACAGGGAAAGAACACAGTTTGTTTTATCTTTTCTAATTCACTGGGCACTAATGCTCTTGATTCTTCATAGTCTCCATATTTCCTAATTCCTCTTCACGCGTAGGCTTCTCTTTCTAGTCTCTCTCTGCTTCTCTTTCTCTCTCTCTCTCTGCCCCCCTACCTCCTCCCCTTTCCTTCCCTCCCCCACCCGGCATGAGTTTCCTCGGGAATAAAGGCTGAAAATAACCAACTCAGCCAGGCATGTACTGGGGAGGAGGGGCGAATGGATGGTTAGTTTATAAAGTTTATTATTAATTTTTAAAGTAAATAAATGGTTGTTAACTGCTAGTAATCACCTATCAAAAGAGAATTCTTTCACTAATATGGACTATGTATGTAGACGAAGAATGGCCACTGGGTCCAAATGGGAAATTGAAACACTCCCATACACGGGGTGGGGGCAGGGTGGGGTGCAGGGCGGTGCGCGAGGAGGCCGCACCAGGCTGAGCCCGGGTCTCTTTCTGCGCATCCACGTGTTTAGACACGAGGCCCCATAAACAAAGGTGAGAGTGCGCGCTGCTGCTCCAGCAGGTGAGTCAGTCAATCACACGTCACCTAGTAAAGCCAACCCACAGCTGGTTTCTCTTTTCAAATAGAAAATAGAATTGTTCAGAGCGGGTTTATAGGGTGACATGGGCCTGAATGTCAGACTTGAGTTTAAGGCTCTTTCTTCCTCCGACCCATCCTTTGTTTACCAAGCAATCACTGCTAAAAGGCTGATTTTTAAAAACTAATTTGCCTTAATTAAAATATTTGTATATTTTCCTTAGCTTTGGGAAGCACTTTTTATAGCAGCAATTTTATTTAAATAAAATTATAAGCTATTCCAGCTTAAACATGTTATTTTGTACCATTTAGCTGGCTGCCATGCAGAAATTCTGTACAGCTGTTCTGGAAAATTGGTTAATAACCAGTTTTATCCAATGAGAACATAGAGCATATTTATAAAAATTAGATTTTGAAGTCTGGTCTCTTCAATTCACATAGTTAATTTCCTAATAAACATATACTGCTCTTCCTAGGTAACATCCTTAGTAAAAGAGTTAACTCTACTTGGGTTCACCATTATATGCAAGAATAATTTCACTGATGTTAGATGAGTAATTCTGTTGGATGTAATCTGAGTCTACAGTTAGTTTAATACCCTTAGGCCTTAAATTTGCTGATATTAGGAGTTCATTAAGTCAGCTTAAAGAAATCAGTGACTATTATTAAATAATTTACTTTGTGGCTAACGTTTTCAAATACATGTATGTTTTAGGGAGCTAAAATTAACTTTTATGTTCACTGTATTAATCATTAAAAATTTGGGGGGGGCAGTAAACAAATTTTTCAAGCGGTGGAGTCAGCATGACAAAAATAATCTTGTTTTTATTTTAGATTCAGATTTCATTACTGCACTCAAACAACTACAACCGGGCTTGGCGTTATTATACAATCCAAACTGTTTCCGTCAGAAATGCTAAGACTCAGTGTGCAATGATTGTTATTAATAATTAGCTCCTTGGTTTCTTGATAGAAAAAGGCTATCAACAAGCATTTGTTTATCCACAACAAAAAGTATAATTAGCTTATCCCACTTAGTAAATCTTGTATGCATGCCAACTCATACCAAACTGCTACTTTTACAAAAAAAAATTGCAATAATACAGTTCATTTTTCCAGTCCTTTTTGCACAAAATTTATTTACAATGTCTACATAAATGCTTCAAGGTGGGACTATGGAAAAATACACACATGACCGATGCTTTGCTCAGAAATAAAGTCAACATATTAAAAATAAATCTTCAGTCTATGTTTTTGAGCTGCATAAAACAGGAAGTGATGTATAAGGTGGTTGTTGCATGGGGACAATGATGCTTGATGTGACAATTAGGCTTCTAAACACACGGCCTTTTGGTTTCCATGCCTCCTCCTACTAGTCTCCTTAAGACACTGCCTGCAACAGCTGATTAATCATTGTTGATGACTGCAGTTTTTCCCATCCTTCCCGATTTACATCTGTTCAGGCCAATTCAAATATGGTGAGTAAATGAATTAGACATGCAAATTCAAGCCCCAGGCTAGAGAGAGGGAGAGAGAGGAAAACAGAGAGAGAGAGAGAGAGAGAGAGAGAAAGAGAGAGAGCGCGCATGGCTGAAATCCTAGGCAAGAAGAAAGATTCTTCTGCCTGATAGTTATTTTAATGCTCTAAAAATCCTGCAAATCAGACCTTCCTGTCCCTTGCAGGATAACTGTAAGGCTTTTTAATGTAAGGAGGCTTCTGGAGGAAGTGAAGAGCTATGGAAACAACACACATAGTGTGGAAAAATTTCACATTTTTTTTAAAAAATCTATAAGAAACAACGTAATATGGATAACAGTATAATAGCATTTACAATATTTCACTCTTTGTTCTCTTAATGTCTTATATAGTTATTTAGCATGTCCCCCAAATTGACTTCGGTTGGTATTTCCTGCTTTTTAAGAGTCCCTAGGAAGAATTAGGGATGCTCCTTGGTCCAAAGTAGATGCCAAGAATGGAACTCCACAGTCATTGCAGAAAAAACATGATTTGAAATCAGTCACCATTGCAGACAACGCATATTCCCTTAAGCTACTGAGCATGAATGTCCATGACTTGTCCACTCATTGTTGGGTCTCCTGTATTAAGAACCGTGGGGCTTGATGCTGACATTGGCATTCCAGGGTGGGGCGGTCCTCCATGCATCATCACTGTTGGGTGGTGAGGGTGTCCAGGAATGTACGTATGCATGGGGGGCCCATGACGCAGCTGAGCAGGATGGGGGGGCATCTGGGGTTGGGTATAACTTGGCTGTCCCATACTCACACCCATTGGACCACCCCGGGCTACATACTCCCCTGGCATACTTTGCAGCCCTGTAGAAATTCAAAAGAAAGAAACAAAAAGAAAATATTATGAAAAAGCAATAGTGTGGTTCTGGCTATGGCAATCCTATGAAAGCCAGGGAACATTGTGATTAAGGGAACATGGCTCTGTGACATATTCTTTTGATTCATATAGAAGAAAACAAAATGAGAAACGTCATGCTGGGAGCTCACATTTTGGGACTATTTTCCTTTCATTGTCACTGTTATCAGTGACTGAGGTCTTACTAATGTCAAAAAAATAAAACTGTTACTTGAGGTCTGGTCTGAAGAAGCATTTTTGTCCCCTGAAACATTCTCTACCAAGAGGACACCACGCTGGTCACGAAACAGCTCACATGAAGCTGAACTAGACAGGTTCACTAAGGCTGATTACTTTGCAAAACCTGTACTTTTAAAAATAAAATAAAATAACAAACAATAACAGTGATCAATGAATTCCTTCCTCATGGTTTCTTAGAGCTGGGGGAAGAAAGCCTTCACAAAACCCTGTCCACCTTACAATGATTTTGAGAACAATAAGAAAAATTGGACCTAAAACAATACCCCTCCTGCTTTGAGGGGCCTCTTGTCTTCTGCATGGATTGCTATAGTTGATGGAAACTGACAGGTGTATTGTTTCTGAGAGCTATAAGCTCCATAATCATCCAGGGTGAAAGGCATAACGCTATTGCTAAGTAGGTTCAATTGGCTTTAGTTCTAAGTAATAGTGCACTGTGAATACGATGAACACCTTCGAATAAGGTCTCCAGGCTCTAGCAATGAATGGCTGCTTAATCTAGCCTAAAGGAACATTTTTGAACTAATGAAAATTGCTTATAAAATATACTGTACCCACAGCTCTTTAATCAAAAAAGATGATAATATTTTTTGTAATACCTATTAATTTAATTGGTCACGAAGCATAAAATACATCATTTAAATTTAATTGACCCAGAAACTAAGAAACAATATTTAAATTA